AAAGGAGTCAAGTAATGGAGTCAGACGTAATTCATGGTAGCATTGCTCACCTCAGCCCCTCTTGATGGTCCTCGTGGAGGGGGCTTAGCCGTCAGAGAAGAAGCCGCTGCTTCGTCCTCCTTAGCCACCTTCTCCAGCCACCCTCTGCCAGCCACCCCTCGAGAACCAGGGAGCCTCATTATTTATTGCTAACCACACATCATATCACTTTAGGGGGGTCTGATTACAGAGTCATACATCACAGAAAGGGGCAATACAATTCATTCTAAAACAAGTTTGATCACTCTGATGTCTCATATAATAAAACCGACAACTACTATTCTGGGAGGCATGCAGGTCCCCTGATAGCAGACAATAACCTAAGTCACTGGGAGGGGTAGGCAATACAATCAATAGGAGGGGGATGACCTAGGGGTGTGCCTGTATTTGTTGTGGGATAAACAGTGGTGTCTGCTTGATCTAGACAGCTGATAATGGCTACCTAACCTTGGTCATCCTTGGGCGGGTTTGCCCTCTCTGGTAGTAAACAGACCACCACTATCCTTATCAGAAGGGAGTGGGTCTTCTTAGGGTGAGTCAGACTAATGATCTAGCCACTATAGATGGCTGATGTTAAGGAGAATAACCTCTGACCTACTTTCGCTGATCACCTATTGTACAGTCATTCTTACGCAGCTAAGTCTGGTACATATTTTGGGGAGACCACTCAAGAGAAATCCTCTGCTCCTCTCACTGTCCGCTTCACTGGGCAGTGCCTGGGGCTGTGATCCACCCAGGCAGTCCAGCAGGCAGCTCGTTCTTCCACCTCCTGCATTAAGTCAGTGTACTCGTCCTCAGCCATCTCCCCAAGAGAGTCCTCATGTGTACACCTGATTCTGTCTTGTCTTTGCTTAAAACCTTGCAAACCGCCCCCACCTCACCCCACCAGATTCACGGCATCGAGTCTGTGCCAACTCGTAGACACTGAGTTTATGAGGCTCACTCTTTACAGGAGTAGAAAGCCCCCCC